AGCACATGACCTATGAAGAAAGACTGAGGGATTTGGGTTTGTTTAGTCTGCAGAAGAGAAGAGTGAGGGGGGATTTAATAGCAGCCGTCAACTTCCTGAAGGGAAGTTCCAAAGCGGATGGAGAGAGGCTATTCACAGTAGTGATGGATGGCAGAACAAGAAGCAATGGTCTCAAATTACAGTGGGGGAGGTAACTAGGTTGGATATTAGGAAAAACTATTTCACTAGGAGGGTGGTAAAGCACTGGAATGGGTTCCCTAGGGAGGTGGTGGAATCGCCATACCTAGAGGGTTTTTTTAGTCTCGGCTTGACAAAGCCCTGGCTGGGGTTGGTCCTGCTTTGGGCAGGGGACTGGACTTGCTGACCTCCTGAGGTCTCTTCCAGCGCTATGATTCTATGATTCTAAGGTTTCGTGCGCTCCCCTGCCCCCAGGTCTTAATTGGCCTGGGGGTGTGGGAGCATGCAAAGCCTCCTCCTGCCCTGCCAGGAGCATGTGACTCGCAGGGTGGGGGGGGCATGGAAGAGGCTTCACACACTCCCCCGCCCCCAGGCTCTGATTGGCCTGGGGGTGCAGGGAGTGCGCAAAGCCTCCTCCTGCCCTACCCCTGCCCTGTGAGGAGCCTTCAAAGGCACATTGCTCGCAGGGCAGGGGGGAGGGTTCCCGCGCTTTCCTGCCCCCAGACCCTGATTGACCTGAGGGTGTGGGAGTGTGCCAAGCCTCTTCCAAGTCATGGATACCTAATGAGAAGGAAGGGCAAAGGGGCTCATTTTACACTTATGGTCTGGGGCTGGCGTAGCCCCGCCCCTTCCTGTTTAGGCCCTGCCCCTTCCAGGGTGGCCTGGGGCTACTTCAAAAATTTTTGAAGTGGCCCCCGGGCAAAAATTGTCCACCCCTGCTGTAGGGAAGCAGCCAGGATAAAAAGGTAGCAAGGCCACACCCTCATGTCAATGATGAGTGGCTATTTCAGAATGCAGTTGGTCCCTGAGGCAGGGGGTCAGAGCGGGGTGGGCAATAACCTTTGGCGGGGCCAGAATGCTTCTGGGCTTCTCCAGCCCCAGACCATGATTGGGCTGGGGGTGGGGGAGCCCCTTTGCCCTCCTCTTCCCTCTAGGCATCCATGCCCCTGGCAGGGTGAGCAGAGACTTCACACGTTCCCCCACACCCCAGGCCAATCAGGGCTTGGGGAGCACATGAAGCCTCCTCCCGCCCTACACCTGCCAGGAGCACACAGCACTTCTGCACTCCTTGCAGGGCGGGAGGAGGCTTTGCATGCTTCCCCCCCCCCTCCCCGGCCAATCAGGGCTTGGTGGCAGGGGACCTGCGTGAAGCATTTTTCACCCTGCCCCCGCCCTGCGTGAGCATATGGCACTTTGAAGTGTTGCACACTCCTCTCAGAGCAGGGAGAGGGCGGAGTAAACGTCGCGCAGCTCCCCTGCCCCCAGGCCAATCAGGGCTTGGGGGGCAGGGGAGCGCATGACGGCTCCTCCCGCCCCGCGAGCAGCACATGGTGCGTCTATGTGCTGCGTGCTCCTAACAGGGCAGGAGGAAGCGTCGCGCGTTGCCCCCATGCCCAGGCCATAATTGGCCCTGGGGGCAGGGGAGCAGCACTCTGTCGGACAGATCAACCCACTTGTGGGCTAGATCCGGCCTGTGGAGGCCCTTTTGCCCACCCCTAGTCTAGATGATGACTGGCAGTGGGTCACTGAGGCAAGGTGGGTATAGGGGGATTGGAATCCCCTGAGAGTGAAGGACCCCAAAGTGCAGGGGCACTGATCTAGGACAGGCTGAGGAGGAAAGGGCACTGTGGCCAGAAAGGGACACAGAGCTGACCCAACAGAAGTCCTGCAACAGAGTCTGGGACACTGACCAGAACAGGGCACTATGAGGCAAGGGGGCTATTTTACAGACACATCATTGGGCCAAGCTGTCCTGAAACCAAGGGAGCTAATTTTTTAAAAACTCTGTGTTCTAGACCGTGCTACTCTGCGCCCAAGGGAGCTATCTTATGAACTCTGGCATTGGGACATGCTGCCCTGTGCCCAAGGGGGATATCTTACAGACGCTGGCCATGAGGCCACACTGAGAGACAGTAAGAATGCTTGTCCTGTGACAAGCAGTGTTGTATTTCAATTGCAGAACAAGGAAGGCACAGTTATGATTGGTAGTGGGATAGAGTGATGAAGGGTAGCATGAACATGGCAATGTAGAAGTGGCTGGGTAAATAATTTGGTGTAATTCATACAGTGCTGCTGTTTGTAATAACAAATACATTATCCAAATGCTTATATGTGGATATAAAAAATATGGGTTAGAGTCTCAGATGGTGTAAGTCAGTGTGGTAAAAGTTACTAGCGGTGTAGAACTTGGTGTAGAATGTGTCATGCTGGCTTTATTTTTATATTTTTTTTATATTAGCGATACTTTACTAAGGCTCTTTTCTTTTTAACAATCTTTTTTTTTTTTAATCTGGGGAGCCTGGCCTGTAAGTATTTTCCATCTGTAAGCTGTAACCCCCAGCTCACTGCTGGCCTGGCTTTGGCAATCTTGCCTTCCTCATCTCACCTACAGCATTTAGCTCACATGTGCCTCATTTAACCAATGTTGTGTGTGAAATCTGACTCCACTGAACTGTTCATGTTAGAAATGATGTATAATCGTGATGACTGGAGATTTCAGTCATTTGTGAAGCTTCCTGAACAGCTTATTCTTCAAATTGGGCAATCTAGCCACGCAAGACTTCATTTGACATTTCCTCCAGCATTGAACAAAATAACCAGCTTTTGTCGGTGAAAATGTAATTAATTTATTTAGTGCTGTTACCATGACAGCTAAGCATTTTGAAATGTTTAATTCTTTAAGACACAAATAAAGCTACATCTATCCACCTAGAGCTTGCAGCTCCAGCCCCGGTAGTTATTTATTAGGGCTTCAGCTTTATTTCAGCTTTTTTAAAATTAAAAAAAATCCCAGTTTTATTTTAAAAAAATGCCATCCTCCTTGCCTCACCAACTGGGCACGAGCCACCTCTAATAGCACTCTCCACGCAAGCGCTGCAACCCTATTCCAGGAATAGTGCAGAGGGAAAGCTGGAGACAGCTGTTATGGAGCAGGCAGGCCCACCCCAAAGTCACTCTGCAACTGGTTCCTTTGCCCACAAGAGTGGGTCTGGCACCCTGAGTTCATGCTGGGTTAGGTGCCCTGCACTCACTCACCAGTGGCAATTCTTGAGTCTCCTATATCCCATGACACTGGGCCCAGCATCCTGCTGCTGGCATTGCAACAGGGCACACTGGTTCACAGCATTGCTCAATTTGGCCCAACTGGTCTGCCATGACAGAGTATCAGCTGGCCAAATCTGAGAGGTTCTATGGACCAGTCCCCCAGGGAAAAAAGCCATTCACTGAAGTTTGCTCCCTCATCCTTCTCCCAGTCATGATGGAAGGTCAGGCAGGTCAAATGAGCAGCTTTGCAAACCATATCAGGCAGAGCAAGTAGTCACACACTCATGGGACAGCAATCATATAACCTTCTGCTGCAAGAGGAGTTGTGGACACAGACAAAAAGTCATGGACAAATAGGACAAGTATATTTGAGGGGTTGTTTTTTTTTCCTGTTGAGATAAACCTGTAGCCCTAGTTATCATGGAAGCGATATCAGCTATTTCTCAGTCTCACTCAGATTGACAGGAAAACCCAGAAGATAGTTTACAGTAAGGGAACTTGCTTCCTACCCACAATATATGTACCAGGTGAAACATGAGCTGGGCTGGAAAGTTGGAGAGATTCTTCAGCCGGGGAAAGAAAAGAAGATTCCTCACTACAGGAGAACACAAGGGCTGTGTCTAGACTGGCCAGTTTTTCCAGAAAATCATTCACTTTTCTGGAAAAACTTGCCAGCTGTTTACACTGGCCGCTTGAATTTCCGCAAAAGCACTGACTTCCTACTGTAAGAAATCAGTTCTTCTTGCGGAAATACTATGCTGCTCCCGTTCAGGCAAAACTTTTGCGCAAAAGGGCCATTGTAGACAGCTCAGATTTGTTTTCCGCAAAAAAGCTCCGATCGCGAAAATGGCGATCGGGGCTTTTTTGCGGAAAAGCATCCGTGCCAATCTACATGCTCTTTCCGAAAATGCTTTTAACGGAAAACATTTCCGTTAAAAGCATTTCTGGAAAATCATGCCAGTCTGGACGTAGCCAAGAGGAAGAGAGGGTCTGCCCAGTTGTTTAGAATAATTTGATCCTGTCTTGTAGATGTTGCTCTAATAGAGTTCTAAAAGGCAGTTCTCTGCTGCATTCCTTTTTGTTTATGCTTGACTTTCCACCTTGTTTGTTGTTGGGAGACGCAAGGAGCAGCTGGCATCCATGAGTTAGGCCTTGGTCCTTATATCTTTTGCCTCCACTTGTTAGAAACTCAGTCCAAAGGAGTAAGGCGACCACTTGTAATAAGAGTTCAGGGTCTCTTTCTTCAGTTACAGTTGTCACATAATGGCCTAGACTGCAGGTAAACTCCCAACCTCTAAGGCTGGGAGAGGAGCCACAGTTGTAATGGGGAACTGAGCTTCATGTGGATAAGGGAAGGAGGCCAGAACTGATTTTCAAAAGTTTTGTTGCTTATTTTCAAAGGACTTGTCTCCCTTTCCACAGCCCAGGTGCCATAAGATAGTCTCCTATGCTGTCCTGCCAGCAAAGGATTGGTGTTTGCTGTGATTTTTTTTATGCATTTATTTTTTAACTTATCAGATGTGTGTATTTGTATCTCTAGGCACACAGATTAAAAATATAAGGTCTGATATAATTTCCAGCACTGTGATGCATTGCCACTGCTACATAGCCTAACAGTACCAGGCTACAAAAATAATAGACCCAAGGCAGCAAATCTTTTTTAAACCCCTCTTCTTCTTCTTCTTTTTTTTTTTAAGCAAGTAGAGAAATCCTACATTTGACCATTAATTGGACAAATGAGCCAGGCACCTGTTAGCCAGAGAGACAGGCTGGTAGTGCCCCCCCCCCCCCCCACTGCCCTGCCAGACAATCCAATACCACAGTATGAACCATACAGACTGGTCTGGGCCAGGTCTGGTACCAAACACCGGAAAGAAATCTGAGAAAAAACCATAGCTGGGCTTGAATAAAGAACCCCTCCTTCCTCTCCTGTTATCACAAGGAGGGAATCTGCTAACACTTGAAATGGCTTATCCTCTGCTACAAATCCCTCCCTGAATGAAAACACCTCCTCCTAGCAGTACACCCTCAAGGAAGATTCTGCTTGGCAAAAGCTGCATTGTACAGGCTTGATGCAGTGTCCTACTAGCTTGCTTAATCTAAACTAGAGACAGCTCTTTGTGACAGCATAGTGTGTAAATTCCCCTTGCTGCTGCCCTCATGTATCCCCTCTAAAGCAGTAATATTTCCAACTATATTTGATAATATCCATGATGTTATACAATGCTAAGTATAAAAGCTGGATATGTGCTGATGGCCAGGGTCATAACTACAGGTAACGGCAAAGAATTTACTGCATGATCTTGCTCCTGGAAACTGTCAAAGATCCTTCTGGCACCACTTATGAAGGAGAAATGGATCGCAACTTGGGAAATATGCAAAAATCAGCATTATTCTTCTAAATAAGAAGTATAGGCTTCCCTGGCTCAGGGCAGAGCTTTGCATTGTAGTTTCACCCCCATCCCAAATAATAGCAAGCTTGTTATATCTGCTGAGGAGCTTTCCTGTGCAGATGATAAATAGACTCCACTTTTTTTGTTTTAAACAATCTGATTGATTTAATTTTTTTAATAATTTGTATCCTATTGCCGTAAAATTGCCTTTCATCATGTAACCGTATCAGAAATCATGCGGTTTGTCAAGACGGGAGGCCAATGTTGCACAACTGCCCACTCAACAATATGAAGGAGTTTACAGTATGTTACTAGTGCCCATCACTGGAGCATAATTTCCCCTTTCACCATTGACAGACAGTAATTACAGCCCCTAGAGTTGGATTTAGGCAGCATTTATAAGGTCACTTTTTGGTTTTGAAAGTCCCCAGGAGTTTAGGCATGAATTTCCCCATTTTCTTGTCTTTGGCATCTGTGTCATATTCCTCATCACTCTGAATTGGCGGTTCATCTTTCCTGCAGAAGACCTCAAACCTACTGTAGACACGCTTCTCCTTCCGCATATTCTCCATCTTTTTCAGAAGGGTATCTCTGTCCTCTGATGGCTGCCTCTGAAGATTCCTCTTATGGTTCCCAAAACTCTCTGACCTACTAATGCTGAAGCTTTTCTCCGTCTCACCTTTGCTTTCCAAACTGGTGATAGACTTGGTAAGATCAGGATAACTTGTGGATGGCAATTGCTTGGCCAGCTCAGCTCTGTTCTTCTGACTGTTGGCAGAAATTTGCTCCAGAATCACCTTTGTGTCATCCCGGAGGTTACTGCTGTATAAGATGTTTGCTGTAGAAGAAGCAAACCTAGTCTGAGATGGCTGGTTGCTTTTGAGAGCCGATGCTGTTGTGATCTTTTGGGATTTCTCGTCCTCCATCACTTCCTGACATTCCCCCTTGGAAGATCGTTTAGGGCTCATGATTTGCTTGTCAGACTTTTCACTCTCAAGAATGGTTTCTTCCTCTGATTTCTTTTCACCTTTTGGATTTAGCAATTGTTTCAACCTTAGTGACCCTTTCCTAAAAAATTCCAGTGGACTCTGTTCCTGTTTGGCACCTTCCTCCTCAGATTTACTGAGAGAGCTGTCAAACCCTTCATTCTTGGATAAACTTTCAGGAATCGATGTGGTGCTTATCTTAGCCTGTGATTTCTTGAATTCTATTTCAGCTTGTTCCTGTGTGTCTCTTTTGAATGTCAGTTTTTCCCTCTTCTCCGGCAGAGAAAGCTCCTGAGTGTCCCCCACAAATATCAGGTAAAGGAGAAGATAATTTTTCCATTTTGCTGTTAATATTTGTAATAGGGTCTTTACTCAGTGTGTCAAGGAGCTGGGTGGATGAAGGAAACATACCAAACTGTTTCTCAGATTCAGTGTGTATCTTGTAACTACTGAAGGATTGTTTTGAATCTAGCACTCTACTTTCCAGGACCTTATATTGCATGGATTTGGTACATTTTTTCTCTGCATTTTGGGTTTCTTCCTGGAGAAAACTGGAAACAGCTTTGGTGTGACTAACTGTAGTTTTCTCTGTGTCTTTGCCCACAGTTTTGTACTTCTCTAAAAGCTCTGCCACTTTAGAAGAGGTGGCTGCCTTTGTACTTTCATTGTCTTTTATAATCTCACTGGATATTTGCTCCTTTTGGATCATCTGAACCTTCTCCGTTGTCATATTCTGTTGATCTAACTTGGCAGCATTAAAAATCAAAGAAGACCTGAGCCTTGAGCTCCTTTGGACCAAAGGATTTATTCTGGGCCTAAAGGGATCCTGTTTCACAGGGGAGATCTCCTCACCAGTTCTCTCAGTACCTGCTGACTCTTTGGCATTTTCAATTCCCAATGATTTATTGTTATTAAATGACATAGAAGGCTTGAAAGATGGGAGCAGGTCACTGGGGTACTTTGAGAGAGGCTCTCCAACGCTCAGAACATCATTATAAGCCTCTGATTCCATGGGCATTGGGATGCCTTCATCTCCTGTTTCAGACTGGTATGCACTCAAGTATGAAGAAATCCTCCAGTTACGCAAACCTGCTCTATTTTCTTGGGTCTTCTTGTCCTGATCTGGGTCCTGGTCCTGTAAAAACATTCGTTGTTCCAGGCTCTGCTTCTGTGTGGGGGATGTCTGACACATGAATTTCTGCCCTATGTTTTGCCTCCTTAGTGACACCAGCCCTAGTGGGCCATTCCCTGCAGGGTTCGCCTGGTCAGAGCCATGCCTCACTTCCCTGGAAGAATCTGAGGGCTCATAATCTACCCTTAAGGGAAAACCCTCCTGTTGGAAGTGGGACTCAAGTTCAGGATATCTGGGGCCCTGTGTATAGTCCTCCAGTTCATTGAATCCTGGCCTACCACCTCGGATTCGTTCAAAGAATCCTTGAGGCCTGCTGCAAGCATGGGGATGTTCAAATTGGTATTGGTAGAACTGGTCTCTTTGAAATTGATTGGATTGCATTTTAAACTCATCCAGATTGTTCATAAACATCTGCCTAGAATACTGCTTTGAAGAAGAAAAGTTTTCACAGGTTCCTTCAGCAAAGCTGTGCCTTTTAAAGGAATCCAGCTCTAACTGCTTGGAGCGGAGAAAACCTCTGACAGGATCAATCTGAGAATTCTCCATTTCTACCTTCTTAGAATACATGCGCATTGCTGATCCCTCTATAGTATGGCGCATCAGGTCATCTCGTCTAAAAGCTGACAAGAAGTGTCTATCTGGATCAACTCTGTCCATGAAGGGGTGAAACACATCATCCCGCTGGTATAGCAGATGTGGTTTCTTTGGGAAAAAGGGCATATTGTTGCCAAAAGGAGCCATGTTAAATTGGTTTTCTGCCTTCACCAAGACGTTGGCGGGAGGAATGAGAGGGTCTGACTGTGCAAAAAGAATTCGGAACTCTTCATCAAAGCTGGACACCAGCTCCCCTTGGAAGATATGAGCAATGCTTCGATGAATCTTCTCAAAAGACCACATAAAACTGCACCAAAATAGAGAAAAGATTAAATGTGATTAGCATCCAATATGTCACATCAATGGAACCACTTCACATCTACCATTCATAGGACTGAAAGAGACCTCTGGAGCTCATAGAGTCCAACCCCCTGCCCAATGCAGGACCAACCCTAACTAAATCATCTCAGCCAGGGCTTTGTCAAGCCGGGACTTAAAAACCTCTAAGAATAAAGTTTCCACTGCCTCCCTAGGTAACCTATTCCAGTGCTTCACCACCCTCCTAGTAAGATAAGTTTTCCTAATATCCAACCTTGAGACCATTGCTCCTCATTCTGTCATCCGTCACTACTGAGAACAGCCTCTCTCCATCCTCTTTGGAACCTCCCTTCAGGTACTTAAAGGCTGCTATCAAATCCCCCACACTCTTCTCTTCTGTAGACTAAATAGGCCCCTCAGCCTCTCCTCTTAAGTCATGTGCTCCAGCCCCGTAATTATTTTTGTTGCCCTCTGCTAGACTTTCTCCAATGTGTCCACATCCGTTCTGTACTGGGGGGCACAGAACTAGACACAGTGCTCCAGGATGTGGCCTCACCAGTGTCGAATAAAGGGGAATAATCACTTCTCTAGATCTGCTGGCAATGCTCCTCCTTATGCACCCCAATATGCCATTGGCCTTCTTGGCTACAAGGGCACACCAGTGACTCATATCCAGCTTTTCATCCACTGTAATCCCCATGTCTTTTTCTGCTGAACTGCTGCTTAGCCAGTCAGTCCCCAGCCTGTAACAGTGTTTGGGATTCTTCCATCCCAAGTGCAGTACTCTGCATTTGTTCTTGTTGAATCTCATCAGATTTCTTTTGGCCCAATTCTCCAATTTGTCTAGGTCACTCTGGATCCTATTCCTACCCTCCAGCCTATCTACCTCTCCCCCTAGCTTAGTGTCATATGCGAACTTGCTGAGGGTGCAATCCATCCCCTCATCCAGAACATTAATAAAGATGTTGAACAAAACCAGCTCCAGAACCAACCCAAACCAACCCCAGAACTGACTCTGGAATCTAGCCTTCTACTCAGCATACTAGCACCATGTACTACTCTGGCAGCTTTCTACTGCCCACAAGAGTTCACCAGATTAACACTTACTGATTATTGGGCATCTGTCAGTCCAAGCACTTACAGGCTCACGTTCTAAACTGAGAGATCTAACATAGCAAGTGGTAACCACATAGGAGACAGGGGAAAGGAAGATGAGGGTTATGGTAGAATATGCTAGTAAGACAGTTTTGTGCTGATTTTTTTAAAATTAAAATATTATTACATTATTTACAAATAAAAATAAAGTACCCTCCTCTACATCACTGAGACAAGGACTGTAGGTTTTTAATGTGGGGCAACTCACTTTTGTACCAAAAGCACATTATATGCATTTTCATCAGATTTTCCTATCTAAACTCGGTATAGCACAGGCACTGATATAGTAACTTCCATATATTAACATTATGCAATAGTCATTACCATACTTGTAACTAGATGCTAATTTGAATATCCAACCCATCTTTTTAGCTACTTTAATTATTCTATGATAACACTTAGATTTGATGCTGGGCTGAAATTTAAAAATCAAAACACTGACTGTTTTCTCAGGATCCAGTCATTGACATGACTCAGTCCAGGCTTATGTTGTGGCTTCAGCCAGGTGGTATTTGGATTTGGTATCCCTAGTTATGCTGGGGTCTCCAATGAGTTTGAGTGTTTGAATTAGTTGTGACAGTCACTAACCTTTGTACAGATATTTTATGTCTAGGATATGAAATAAGTTTGGTTTTATATTTCAGTATTTTCTTTAGCTACACATTCACATATTGGAATAATAGTGCATTATGCTCCAATGTGACAACCTTGTCATTGATATTTAATTGTAACTGGCATAGTAACAGTGCCCTCTCCCACCAGCATCTCTTCCTAATGTAATTCTGCAATCTCTTCCTGTGCCCTCTCACCTGTAGTTGCCACTTAGCACCACCATGCAGTCCACCAACAGGAACTTTTCTTTCACATGCCCTTTGAAGGACATCCCCGTACGGCAGTAATAGGTAGGGCCAGAAACTGTCCGGACCCTCAGGAACTGCAAACCAGCAGAGAGATGAGGCAGTGACTTCCAATGGCAGAAGTTTACCCTTCCCCCCCCAGCTTAGCTCATTTCTTCAGAGTGCTGATGTTATGATAGAGACAGCTATCTTCTCTATTTGCTTTTCTGTCCAGCTATCGTGTCTCATCATGACACTACCCAGGCTGCCTCCAGCCTTTATCTCCACCTCATTACTGAGAATGCCTTTCTCCCCTGACCCCTTACACATATCTCTGTAGCCCCTCCCCCCATAGCTCTTAAGGACCAGACCATAGGATCCCAGTGATGAACATGCCCAGTCGAGGCCCTCTTATTCTGTCACCTCCACATAGTTGAGGTTGACTTTGCATTTAGCAGCTGTGTCTAGGAAGAGCTGGGAGTTCATTTCATCCAGGAGGATGTACACAGGGACCCTGCGGGCAGCAGCATCCAGCACTTCACTCAGCAGATCCACATCTGTGAAAACATCCATCACTACAGCTACCACCTGTAGGAGAGAGAGTGAGATAGATAGTCCAGTTTTAGGCCCTGCATTCACTTGCAGCTACTAATAGCACAGTAGTCTCTTCCCTTCCCTCCCCCCCCCAGCATCTACCTTTGTTGTACCTGCTGCATTCCTTTCCCTTCCCCTGATTGCACCTGTCCCACTGAACCTCTTCTGTGCCCCACTCTGGCACCCACCCCTTCTGGACTCATATCTTCCTGGAGAAAGCATTCCTACACTCTAGGTATGTCTACACAGCAAAGTTATTTTGGGATACCAGAGGTATCCCAATATAGCTACCCTGCATCTTTTGAATGCATCCGCTATTTTGAAATATAGCGGATGTGCTATTTCGCCATCCCTGTAAACCTCATTCTATGAAGAGTAAGGGATGGCTTGAAATAGCGCTTTATTTCGGAATTTGGCGCTGTGTAGACAGCACCAAATGATAAAATAAGCTATTTCAAAATAGACTCAAAATAAGCTACGCAATTTGCATAGCACAAATTGCATATCTTCTTTCATGTTTCAGGTGCTGTGTAGACACACTCTCTGTCCAGAAGGAATCATTAGGTCAGAGGTTCTCAAACTTTTGGTCGGGATCCCAAAGTAAGTCATGATCATGTTTTGATGAGGTCACCAAAGCTGGCTTAGATTTGTTGGGTCCCAGAACTGAAACTTAAACCCGATCCCCAATGCCCAGGGCTGAAACCAAAGCCTAAGGGCTTCACCCCTGACAGGTTGTACAGGAAAACAGCCTGGGGCTGAAGCCCTTTGGCTTTACCCTCCCTGCCCTCCAGGGTGGTGGCGGCTTGGGATTTAATTTTTTTTCTCCCACCCAGCCCAACAGGGCTTGGAAGGGCTCGGGCTTATGTCCCCACTCCTAAGGTCATGGAGTAATTTTTGTTATCAGAAGGGGGTCATGGTGCGATGAAGTTTGAAAACCCCTGCATTAGAATATTTAGTTCTAGTAACTAGATTGACCTAATCTTAGGTGTAGACATCACTCAGGGCTATGAAAAAATTACTGCCCTGCATGGCAGCTAGGTTGAACTAACCCCACTGTAGATGCAGTTAGATAGATGGAATCATTTTTGTGATTCTTCTTTATATCTTCTCCACTTTTTCAACACCCTTTTGAAGATGTCGACACTAAACCTGGATGGTGTTTTCCAGTATTGGACTCACCAATGTAAAAATCGCATCTTAGCTGAGTCTTTGGGGGCTCTTGTGTAGTCTATTATGCTAGCTACCTGTGCAGAGCCGGCATGATACCTAGGGAGCATACGAAAACGCACACAGCTGAACGTTTATCATCACTGATGGAACAGGAGACCTGTCAGGTCATCACACCAATGAATCCTGAATTTACTGTTTCGCTGTCCTGAAATACTACACCATTCACACTCCCTGCTTTATACATCTACAGTGTCTCAGTATGAGCTCATGTTCATTAAGCCTGCTGCTGTGATCCCTTAACTCCTTATAGGAATGTATGGCTTGCCAAGATGCAGTTCCCCATTTCTGTAAGTACTGTCTATATTCTTTAAAGTTGGCAGAGGGGGTCATCTTTGGGCTCATATTACTGAGACCATGCAGAGTCCTGTGTAACCTCTGGTGTAGCATAGCTTATGGGCTGCTCTAATTTATGCAGTTTCCCATGAGCACTTGGCAGCAGTAAATAACTGTAGTACAGTGAATGCCTCCCCATGCCAGGTATTGAAATGAATGTCAGTGCAGAGCCTTTACACCAGTTCGACACAAACTAGGGAGGCCCCTATATGAGGTGATTCTCAGACAGCTGTTTCCACTCTGGAAAAGCCCCTTTCAAGTGTCAGGCCTAAAGGGCCTGAATATAATTTTTCACAGGAAATAGCAGAGGGAATCACTGCAGAGCTGCTGCTCTATCTTGCCCCACCACCTTCAGCTCTTTTGGTTCATGGCCTTTGTTCTCTCACCTGTTGTGCGGCTCGGATCATCCTACGGGCTTCTTCCTTGATGCTGGGATTGTCTGGGGGTGGTGGGTGCACCAGGGTTGTTACCTCAGTTCCCTGGAATCCAAAGACCATTGGCCAGCCCAGATCAAGTTCAGGGACAGCAAGGTCAGAATTCATAGGCCAGTAAGTCCCAGAGGATCCATCCATGTCACTGCTATGTGTGGTATCCATACAGCTGCCCTCCTGGTTGGCATACTGGGGCTTCTGTAGATGCTGACTGATGTGCTCTACCTCTGTGCTGCAGAGAAAGTCAGGGGCTCCTTCTTCATCCAGGAATTGATGATAACTCTCCTGTCCCTTCTCAGCAAGTACATCAAGAGCCAGACGGTAATATTCCTTGTAATGGGGTGGCAAGTAGTTAGGGTCCAGGGGATTGTCCCCCTGTGAGGAGCTCTGGGACCGCCGAGCCATGACGTGTGGGGAAGCTGCAAAAAAGGAATAAAGAACCAATAGACAATATTAACCATCACCCTCATCACACTGACACCCTCTTACTCCCCGGTAGTTAAAGTGTAGGGATTCATGGATGATAAAACAGTGATGAGGCCAAGTGCACTGTGTAGTAATTAACATATATACATTTTTATTTTCACTATGTGAGGCAGCATATCTTAGGGTACGTCTAAACTACATGCCTCCGTCGACGGAGGCATGTAGATTTGTGTATTCGAAAAAGGGAAATGAAGCTGCGATTAAAATAATTAAATAATTATTTAAATCGCGGCTTCATTTCCCTTTGCCTATCTGTCTAATCTACATGCCTCCATCGACGGAGGCATGTAGTCTAGACACACCCTTAGCGTTATAATGATTTGGAAACTGAATTCTTGGCTAGGAAATGGGATTGAATGGTTACCTACTAATGTGTTATTTTGATATATTAGCATATATTTGTTCAAAGGTATGGTTGGGAGGATGGTGTAAAATGAGAAGGTGTGATGTTGAGAGATAAAAGATTATAAAGCAGTATTTCTTAGCTGTTCATTTCAGGCTTTCTACAGTTAGATTTTTTTTTAAACAGTCTAGGCTTTTTTGTTAAAGCAAGTAAAAATTGTGTGGGTATTTGCTGGACATTAGGAAAACAGGTTATCAGCCTCTTTTAAATTATTTTTTTTGTGAAACAGTGCACTGGATGATGTATGTGTGTTGTGTGCATCCCATCCCTGTGCACCTGTTCAAGCCCTTGGGCCTTTTAAACTAGGATCTATAGACACCAGCGCACATGATTAGGAGTTTACAGGCAGCTATAAATAAGGCATCCTGCCTCTGAGGGTAGGGATAGCTGGCAAGAAGGACGTGATTCTTGAGTATGTTCTAGTACAAGGCTACTCAATTGTGGAAGACCCGGGGGCCACAATGATGCTCGTAGCACATGCTGAGGGCTGCGACTTAAGTGTGGTTTCATATTCATGTACAGGCAGTCCCCGAGTTACGCGGATCCGACACGTCTGGGCTGTCAGCTGGCCGCGCGTTCCGCCGCTCTGCTCTGCTCCGCTCTGCTCCCCCTCCCCCTGGTCTGCAGAC